GGACTTGGAGTGCAACCCATCTGGGCTGTGGTTTGCACAGGTCAGCAGGACCCTGGCTGAGGGAGCTGTTTAGAACTTCCTCTCTCAGGCTGTATGCTGACAGCTGCGAGCCTGCAGGACACAGGCACGGGATACAGCAGGCTGTTGGGTTCCAGAGCACGGAAGGTCCCTCTCTCTACCAGACCTCCAGGAATCCAGGAGCTGTTGTCAGAGGGAGCGGGGCTTCTAGAGGGCCGTGTCCAGGGCCTGTGTCCCAGGCACCTTCGAGCCAGCATTGACCCTCCCTAATGGGTGACAGGAACTCTGACAGCTCTCAGTTTCCATCACATAACCCACCAGAAGCAGTCGCAGGAATGGGGTTATCTCTCCCCTCAGAGAGGGAAGTGGTGTTTTTTAGTAGAGTGCTGGGATCTGAGCTTCTGGCTCTCTTGTAACTTGGTCACTGCAGCTGGCCAGACCCCCTGCTCCCTTGGGCCACCAGAAAGCTCAGAACCAAAAATGATTCCATTGTATCAACTGAGTTCATCTTCTCGCCCCTAAATCTATGTCTTCCTCATTCTGATAACCGTCTGCGGAGATTTCTATTTTCCTGTTTCTTGGTCTTAGTGAGTGATTCAACACAGGCCCCGCAATGGCCTGGGTCCTTCCTGGGTGTGAGTCCCAGCTTTTCACTAGCCCTAGCAGGGCACTTCATCTCTGTAGCTCAGTCCCAGGGGTGCTGTGGAGTAATAAAGAACCTCCTTCATAGGTGGGTTATGAGGATTAAATGAGGCATGACCACAAAGGGCTCAGCGCAGGGCTAGGTACAGTGTAAGCCCCTGACATCGGCCTCATTTCCCACTCTTTGATTAGTATTTGATGTGAGCTGCCACAAACCTTTTATGGAATATAGTGTTAGGATGTAGAAAGAGACAAGAAGACCCTGAGGGTGTGGGGGGTACAGGAGAGTCCCATCATGACAAGGACAGACGGGTCCGCGTGACCTGCTAGGAGTCCCTAAGAGATCGTCTTTACTTCACACCACAGAGCTCTCTGCCTGGAGTCCTGGGGCCTGAGTTCTAGAGAGAGGTGATACCTTCCCCGGTGTACCCCTAGAAAGATATCTGGGTGACTACCTATGCTCTGAAGTCACAGATACAGGGACAGTCAAAGGCAAGAAAGTGGAGCTCTTACTTCCCATCATATCCTGCTAGTCTTCATATCCTTCTAGTCTTCTCCGTGGGGACTGTTTATGCTCCCCTTCCCCAGGCAGAGAACTAGAAGCACTGGCCATGGAGAAACCAGAGCATCAGTCATCCGTGTCTGTCTGTCTGCACCAGGCCTTCCTTCACTACCTGAGAGCTATTTGGGGCAGAGACTGTGGGCTGCACCCCTTGGTCCCCTGTAAAAAATGCTTCTGTACTGCTCCAGAGACAGGGAACCATTGAGAGGAGATAGCACTGAACCTGTCAGGTGGCAATTTGTTCAACATTCTGCCCATTGCACAGATAGCAAGACTGAGGACATACAATCCTTATACTACATGCCAGCATCTCCTGGACATGATGAAAAATGGATTCACTTTTAGGAGACTATTTAGAGGTTCCCCTGAGACTGGCCAATAATGCTCAAAGAGATTTCAGAGATAGACCCCACCCTCTTGTTTTTCTCCCCTAGCCACCTCCTCTCCTTACAAAAGATACACATGCTAAGTCAGGGGACCTGGGCTTTCTGGCAGCCTATTTCCACCCTACTGCGCCCTTCCTCCTGGTCCACCCACCTCCCCAGCAGTGGCCTGGGGGATAGGGCAGGGCCAGCCATTGTAATTGCAAGCAGCCCCTGCCAAGGCAGCCTCGAGAGGGGGCAGGGAACAATTCCTCCCACATCAATATTTATTGCCTGAGAGCTGCTGGAAGCAGATTGTCATGTTCTCAGTCTTTGGTTCTTTTTTAAGAACCTCTCACCCCCTTCCCTCCCCACTCCTTATCCCCAATGTGCTGACAGGATAAATCCAGACAGCCAGACAGGTTCACAGTTGGGGAGCCAGGGTTTCAAGGCATCACAGAGACAGTTCTTAAAACCTGAATCTCTGCATCATAGCAGCTTTGACTCAAGGAATCATATGTCCTCAGGATCCAAGGCACAGAGAGTTGCTCCAGGAATCTAACCTCAGCAACATACAAGATAGAAAATATGAAGTGGCTTGTTCAAGGTCAAACAACTGACTTGTGACTGAACCTGACGCAGGCAAGTCTCGCTTCGCTCATCCTACCTATTCCTATGTCCCAAGTAGCTGCTCTTCTCTGTTTAAATTTGGGGTCAAGTTTGGAGATTATCTGTAATCAGCACTGCAAGTTCTGCCCCACCTCTCTGATCCTACTTGTAAGTGCTCTTCCTCAAGTTCCACAAATTCTGTCTCATCCAAATTTTGGCCTGAGCTAGGTAGAACCGGAAAGGACCATCTGTGGTTCCAAGCTGTCTTCTTCCCTTGAAACTGTTCCCTTTCCAGGCCTGCCTCCCCCTGCCTCGGAGCCAGCCCCAGCCAGCCCTTCACCATCTCTGGAAAGTCCCCACAGCAGAGCACCCACATCTGTGCATCCTTCTGGAGGGTTCTTGGACTTGTCCCCATACCCACCAGGCTGGCAAAGCCCTGGCTCCATAGCCATAGCTGCTGCATCGGTCTCCCCGCCCCCAGCTTCTCCACACCTCTCATGTCCCTTGCAATACTTTCTCTGCTTTGCACCTGACACAGAGCCCCAGCACTCCCAGCTCACCCACCTTCTAGGGCTACCCCGCTGCACTCGAAGCTGGCAGGCAAGGCCTTTCCTGTTTTGGTCCCTGCTCGGCTGTTCCAACATCATTTTACCTTGGTCCTACCCTTTGCCCAGCACGGTAGCGAGTGTCGTAGGGCAGTCTGGGAAACTGACAGCCTTGGACCCAAATCCCAGCATTTCAAGGTAGAGACATTTTTAACCTTCCTTCCTTCCTTCTAGACATTATTAACCTACCAAACTTTCTAGTTCTAAGGAGGCTCTATTTCACATCAGGGTAAACTTATTCAAATGCACAACTTGCCACATTAAATGGAATCATTCTTGCTGCAAAACTGTCGACAAGACTTTTATAAATTGTCCCACTGAAATTAGAATTACTCAGCACCAAGTAACTTAATGTATGACTGTGATTTCTCAATTACCTCCCTGTGAAATGATAATAAGTTTCTACAGCTGGTTTCTGACAGAGAGCTCCTAAAACTCTTATAAATTGGGGAGATAGGAGAACCTTTTGTGGTAATATTTAGTCTTTGATCTTAGATTCTGACCCAGAGCTCTTAAGACCTTTGTAATTTCCTGAGTTACAGGAGCATCTGGCCTTAATCCCTTGGAATTTCCTGGGTAATAGAAGCACCTCTGGTCCTAATGAGGTGACTCTTGGTGGGCACCGAAAGGGGACCTGGACACAGAAGGGCCAGCCAAGATTAAAAACTTGGAATATTCAGCCCTAAGCCCCATTCTGCAGACAGGCGAGAGGGCCTGGGGATAGAATTACAATCAACCACATGTATGTATGGAAGTCTCTATAAAAATCCCAAAGTAGAAGGCTCAGAGAACTTCTAGGTGGGTGCGCACTTCACGTAGCAGGAGGGTAATATAGCCCAACTCCACGGGGACAGAAGCTTCTGCACTCACAACCCTTCCAGGCTTCACTTATCTGGCTGGTCATCTGTATCCTGGTAAATATGCTTCCCTGAGCTCTGTGAATTGTTCCAGCAAATGATGGAATTTAAGGTAAGTGGCATAGGGACCTCTGACTTTTAACCAAGAGGGACTGACGTGGGCAAGCTGGGGACCTACTACTTCTGGCTGGCGTCTGATGTGAGTGCAGTCTCGTGGGACTGAGCCCTTGACCAGTGGGCTCTGACGCTCTCCAGGTGGATGGTAGCAGTAGGGTTGGACTGTGGGACACCCCGCTGGGGTCGAAGACACCCTGCTGGGGTCAGCGTGGGAATAACCCCACATCTCTGGTCTGGTCTGTGTGAGTAAAGGAGAAACACAGCAGTGATTTCCCTTTATGCTCTCCTACTTGGGAAAAGAGAAAATCAAATGGAATGGAATATGTATGAGTAACAAAAAGTTCATGAAGTTGAACCTAATGCATGTAATGAAGCATTAAAAAAATTCTATTTTGTCATATTCTTTCATATTTTGAAGCCATGGTTGGTTTGTCAATCTCATATTTTTGTGGGTTCCTGGAAGACTTGGAGGCCCCCTGCCAGGAATCTCCTCTCCTGCCCAGTGACTCACATAGTCCTGCCCCGTCTCACCAGCTGTGACCTTGGGCATGTCACTCACCTGCTGAGTGCAGTGTCCTCCTCAGCATGAGACCGCCTGCCCCACTAGTCATACCCCTGAGCCTCTCACTAGTTTTTATTTATCAATGAGTCTTTGTCCTCATGAGGCTGTGCTGTTTGAGGGTAGAAACCATTTCCTGAGCTCCGCTAGCCAGAGACTGTGCACTACGTAGAGACCAAGGACTGGATCCCAGCGTTCAGCTCAACACCCAGCCCACAGACTCATCAGTGGACGTTTGTCCCTCACTGTCCCTGAAAATACTCCATTCACTTCTGTAGTCAAATCCTTTACCAGGGCTGCGTCCACACCTCTCCCTCCTTTCCATGTGTCCACACAGCCTTCAGAGTCCAGCTCAAGTCCCTCCTCTTCCCAAGCCTGCCCACACCTCCCGCCACCCTCCATCTACCCCAGTTTTCAACTTTGCCACGGCATGTTCAAAATTTATAAAACACTTGAAGTGATCGGAGGAGAAGGCCTAAGTCAGTGGCTAGTGTGAGGGGTGGGCCTAGACAGAGCTGGGCCCTCGTACCAGTGCTGCCCTTGCTGGCATGTGACCTGTAAATCAGTGCCCAGAAGGGAGGAACAGAGTTTAATGTCTCAGAGGAGGACAGTGTGGGGGAGGCTGGAGCCTGGACGGGGTCAGGGACAGGAGGGTGTGGGGGATCTTACTTTGGTGGCAGAGGAAGCTGCGATTGTCAAGACCCTTCTCCGAAAGCGAAGCTCGTGCTTTTCCTTGAGCATCTTTCTCGGGAAGAAGAAGTAGGGAATGGCAGCCAGGGCCACTGCCCCAGCGGCGATGAGGAAGCCCAGCCACCAGGCACCCACCCAGCGGGGGTCCTTCGAGGTCAGGCTGACACCACCTGGAAGAGAAGACCATGTGATGTTAGGGTCAGGAATGGCCGTCTCTTCTTGGCCACGACCCTGCAACTAGTTTCTGAAACATGTGGCGTCAGGAGATTGGGTTACAGCTGTGACTCTGCCAGTGAGGTCCTCGAGCAAGTCCCTCTCTGGCTCTTGATTTTGTTACCTACTAAGGCAATGTGTGTAGTGGTCAAGGTCGTGGGCTTTGGAAATGAACTGCTGGGCCTGAATTACATACTCACATAACCTTGGGCAAGTTACTTAACCTCTGTGCCTCAATTTCATTCTCTGTAGAGTACAGGTAGCAAGAGTACCTACACCGTAGGGTTGTTGTGAGAATCATGGACACTAGTACAGACAAAGCACTCTGCACGGTGTTGGCACATTGCTCTTCTGTGTTATGCTGTTCCTACCGGGGTTGCCATGAAATTTATGTTTCAGACTCTTGTGAGTTCTCACACCTCTGTGATGATTAAAAGCATCAGAGGGCTTGTCAAAAATACCTGGCCTTACCCAAGACAAAGTTAGGTTGGGGTGGGAAGGTGACCAAGAAAACTATACCTTTAACAAGTTCCCCGGGTACAATTAGACTAGATGATCCAAGTGCATCTCCTGACTGGAGCACACACATCTCCCATCAACCCTCTTGACCACAAGGTCCACAGCTGAGCGTTAGTAAAAACACTTAATCAAAATACAGATGCAGGGGCCTCCCTGGTTGTGCAAAGTATTAAGATGCAACCTATGAAGCTGTCTGCAGCCTCTGCAGCAGGAGTTCGATCCCCAGCCAGGGAGCAACCCACATGGAGCAGCAGACCTCTCCTGACTTGCCCACTACTCCCCTCAGCTGTGTATTTCAGTCAGTCTGCCTGTTCTGTTCCCCACTCTGTCTCTGGTGAATCCTCTTACCCCCGACAACACTGGCCTGTACCCAGCATATGCATAAATAAATAAATATTTTTAAAAAATACAGATGCATGATGACACCAAGTCCAGGAATGGGACTTGCTACAGGGTGCCTGAGCTTGAGCCCGAGGCCGTCCTGGGTGGGGCCAGAGTACACAGCAGGTTCTCAGCGAGCATATCTATAAGGCCGGGGGTGAAACTGGCTTTCGCCCTTATTACCTCCTCCACTTATTACTTCCCTTGCTTCTATGCCAGGCTGGTGAGTGCTCACACATGCATCTCCCCAACTCCCCCACTTTTCACACACTAGTTTCTGCCTGCAGCGGACACAATCTTCCCACCCCAAGAAATCCCCAATGGAGAAGCAAGGACTAAGGACGTGACCTTCTGGTCCACAGCCAGGCCACATCTGTCCATGATGGCACCATATCTGCCAAGATGATGTCAAAAGAGTCAGAAAGCACAGTCTCTCTTCCAAGCTGGCAGGGCTTCTGGGAAGCCTTCTGGATCCCTGAATCCCAGGCCCTTTTCTCCATGGAGAGAGGAGCTGTGACCAGAACCAAGTCTTGGCACCTGGGCCCAGCTTTCAGGAAGGAGGGGAGGTGATGTGGGGCTGTCCCCGGTGACTCTTGTTCAAACCTGCCCTACCTGGAAGCACCTTTGGCAAAAGAAGAATAAGAAGCAGGACCTACCTATCCTTCTATTTGTACACATGTCACTGGAGGCTTCAAGGGCTTATTGGAAAGCCTCCAGCTGAGAGATGGGACTTTTGAGCCGCAAAAGGCAGAAGGCACGATAGGGAGCTCAGAGCTGCTGGGTGTGGGCAGCAGGAGCTGAGATGGCAAGTGACCTGTTCTACAAGGAATCCCCTGCCATTCCCCATGGAGTGCCAGGGTTCTAGAACCTCCTTCCATCCTCCTTCCTGGCTGCCTCAGCCTGAGCTCAGTCCTGTGTGTGCATCTGAGTAGGCGCTGGGGGACTGGGGAAACTGAGGAAGGGAATAAGGAGAATGTTGGTAATAACAGCAGTGACAGCCCCCACAACTCCACATCTGATCGTGTTTAATAACTTATTTCCATCCTCTCGCTGGATTCTGATGGCAGCTTTCAGAACCGGACAGGATGGAGAATATCTTAAAGATGAGGAAGCTGAGGCTCAGAGAGGTTAGAGCATGTCCAAGGTCAGTGGGCATTGCTGGTCCCCTTTGGTGTTTCTTGTGGGACCAGATGGGACAGCCAGGTCTGTGTGCCCCCGGGACTGCTGTGTGCTAGCGAGGCTTACCTTCCGGCATTCGGTCAATGTCCACATACAGGCGCAACATGAGGCCACCCAGCCCGTAGGCCATGCCTGGGCCCATCATGGTCACTGCAAACAGGATCCCTGCAAAATGAAGCCTCAGTTAAGCCCTTCTGGCCTTGTTCCCCTCAGTAGGCCAGTACCCAACAGTCTACAGGGGACAAAAGGAGCCCGTCTCCCCAGTCAGGCCCAGGAAACTGTCCAGGACTTCCCCGAACATTTATGACTTGAGCCTTTTTTCTGTGGCCCAAGTGGCAATTAAAGGGGTGGAAGCAGTCTTCACCTAGGTAGAGGGGTGAGTTACTGTTGTGGGCAAAGTCATCGATGTAGGAGATGCCGAAGGGCTGAATGGGCACCGCGCCCACACCAAGCAAGGTCTGCGCTGTGAACATTATCCCCACCACAGTCAGGTGCTGGGTCTCTGTGGCGTCTGAACAGCTGCCGTTGGAGGGGCCCAGGGCTGGGGTCTGGGCCAAGGCTGTGGGGAGGCACAGGGAAGCTTCCCAGTCCGGTGGCATGTTGCCTGAAAGATGATAATAGAAAAGATTGTGACAATAGGTAAGATTTACCAAGCACTCGCCAGATGCCAGGTACTGGCTGTGTACATAAATCATTTGACCTCTAGGGGATGGAGACTCTCTTTACCCCCATTCCGCAGAAGAGGAAACTGATGCTCAGACAGCACTTAGCAAGGGGGAATGCCAGGACCAGAATCCAGGCAGTCTGGCCGTGAGCTCCTCCTCTTAAACTAACTCACCCATCTTCTGAGCAGAAGCATGTGGACAAGTTATAGCAATGGGACCCTTAAGTGGGGTGGATCGTCCAAAGGAGGTAGAGTAGATTGGGTTTGATACTGGAATTGTCAGGCCTAGTCTCCCAGCCAGGAACGGATCCCAGGCTGCAGGGACAGCGCTGAGCCCCGGCCACCAGACCCCCACGGGTTGGTGTCTCACGAAGCCACAGCAGGAACTTCGCAGACGCTCAGGCAAGCAAGTGAGAAGAGGCAGGTTTGTTTAGAGAAAGAAAAAGTTTATTGAGGAGAAAAAGAGCAGAAATAAAGTGGGACTCCCAGGCCAGGGAACCAGGCCTGGGAGGGGCAAGGAAGCCAAAGTGGAGTCGTGTCTCAGGGAATATAGACCTTTTTTTTCTCATTCTAAAGCTCCACCAGTCTCTTTGTGATTGGTTAGTTCTCCTCTGTCTCACTTAATTTGCTACTGAGTGGGGGATCTTCACATTCCTTACCTAACAGCTTTGTCTTTCCCCATTTGTTGCATCTTTATCTTTATGGCCGTCCTCTGGATGGGCATCCCTGCATTGAAGTTAAACAGCTGCCCTTCTAAGTTGTCCATAAATTAAACCACTCTCCATTTCTCCAATCTCCGCCTCCCTTTACCACCTGAAACCAGGACCAGTGTTAACAATGTTGTCCTTGGTCCTGAGATGTTTGTTTTTCCTAGTGGAATTGGTTACATTCCCTTGGTTGTCCTTATCTCTGAAGCCTCCCTAAATTCTTCAGAGGTCCCCTCCTGCACTGTCCCTGAAACTGCCTAATTTCTAGCTTGCCCTGTGTCTCAGGTTCAAGAAGAACAAACAAGATTTTCCAGAAAGAGAAGTGAGGAGGGGAGTTCCAGGGAGAGGTCACAGCCCCTGCAGACACAGGGCTGAGAAGCTCAGCACAGCTGGCTCACGGAGCATGAGGGGTCAGGCCAGGGTGAAGGCAGGGTCAGACAGGGGTGGGGAGCTGGGGCTAGAATGTGGAGTGCTCTGGTGCCCTTGGCCTTCATGGGGGAAGGAGCAGGGTCAGCTCAGGACACAGATGCACAGTGCAGTAAATTTAGGGGAATTTCTTAATTTGGTAGCAGAGACTTGCTCCCTGTAACTCACCAATATTTGGTGAGCAAACTAAAGGAGACCCTCACACTATTATTATCCCCAACATGGGTGTGACTGTGGCCTTCTCTCTGAGGTTGGCCCAGCCTTTCAGGAGCCCAGGTCCTAAGTGGTATCCACCCAGCCTAGAGTGCCACTCTCTGGCACTAGAAAAATCCGTGTGAACCTAGGTCAGGGATCCAGACCTTCGGTTAAGGCTGGCGGGTTGAAGACTCTGAGACTTTGAAAGAGATCTCCTGCCTCTCTGGGCCTTGGTTTCCTCACCTCTCGAACAAGCTTCCTAGAATCTGAGATCCAGAAGTAGAATGATTCGGTAGTTCGGAGCAGGGGCCCGAGGGCCAGGCTGACTGGCAGGTCTCATAGCTCCACTGGCTGCAGGAAAGTCCCTCCCTCCCCCAGCCTCAGTTTCCTCACTTGTGAAACAGGGTAAGGAGGCACCTGTCCCAGAGATTTGGCAACATTAGGATGAGAGGTGCCTGCACAGGGCTGACTATTAGATATGACTATTATGGGGCTCGGTCTTCTGTTTCCACCCTATGTTCCCAAGGCCTAGCCGAGGGCCTGGCACATAGGTATTAATGAAAAATTAATTAAGTCAATTTGGACGAAGAGCGAATGAGTGAAATAGTCTGAATAACAGAGCAGGATGGGCGCTTGAACATCGCTGACCTGACCTGCTCATTGTGTGGATGTGGAGACTGAGGCTCAGACAGAAGGGCACAATAATGGGGTTCCCCTGACCCCTTCCAGCCCAGCCCCTCCTGGTCTTACCAGGGCTGGAGTGATCGAAGCGGTATGGCTCTGAGATGAAGTGTGGAAGGGTCATGAGCAGCCCCGCCAGGGCCACCAGGACAGCCCCACAGCCGATCAGTCGGGGACGGTGCACCCGGCTGCCAAAGTAGCTCACAAACACGATCAGGGCTGTGTTCCCCACCTGCAGAGCGACGAGGGGACCCATTAAAGTTGAGCAGAGCCCAAGACATGCGCCTGTCCCATCCCTGTCTTTATCCCCAATGTCAGCGTTCCTGTCTGGGTAATGGATTATTTGACTGAATGTGTCAGCTGGATCCCTCCTTTAAGAACAGACTCTGGGTCATCCCAGGAAGGGCACCACTACCTCATGAAGAGAGACAAATGGGGAGAGTAGACAAGGTTAGAGCTTCAATTTCGTTGTGGTAGGGCATTGGGCCCCAAGTCAGAATACAGAGGGTGGACAGTCGAGAGGGGGCTTTGAGTTTCTGGGACATCATGAATGAGAGAAAGGAAGTCTAAGGCCTGAGGACCCAGGCTTGGGATTTTGAGCCTTAGAATCAAAATCTTGGGATGTGGGAGTTGGAAGGAACTTGAGAGCTTGCAGGGAAGGGGCAGGCTCCACCATGAGGGGCTGGGGTATGAGTCCTATTATATTGCTGTCTGGCTGGTGGCCATTGATGGGTCCTCATGGTGGATGGGGGAGTATCAGCTGAGGGTCGGCAGGAGGGCTGAATCTGGGAAGGACAACAACTCTACATTTCATAGATGGGATACTGAGGCCTGGAGATGGGGAATGAGTCCTTCAAAGACTGAGAACTGAGTACTAGCCTTCCCTTCCCACCTCTGAGACTTGGAAGTGGGGTGCTGGGGAACATCTGTGAGTGATGTGTAGCTTGCAGGTCCTGGGTTGGGAGGAATGTGACACATCACCCAAGGGGTAGAGAATTTCACAGAAATCTGAGGGGGTAGGGAAGAAGGAGAGCGTTCTCCAAACAGAACTGAGGCCTTCTCTGAGAGGAGGGCTTGGCACAGCTGGACTGTGCTCTCCAAAGCCTAAAGCAGCTCACCTGCTTCCTGCCGCCTGGCTATCAGCCCAGAGGCAGAGGCCCTTGGATCCCTGGACAACTCTGAAGGTGACCCACCCCCACACCCCAAGCTCTGAAAGCTCTTTCTTCCTTTTAACTTAAACCCTCGAAAAAGTGACCCAAGAGCAGGATGGACCTCGGGTCTGACCTTCCATGGGCAGGAACAGGTGGAGACCCTTCACATCTCCTGTTATGCCTTGTCCTAACGTCTAGCTGGTCAGTTTCTGGACCAGGACACTGAGGAAGGAGCTGGTTTGGAGGAGGAAGCTGGCATGGGGTTGCCTGCACACAGGTAAAGTGTTTGTGGTGGGATAGTGAGAGAGGAGGGCCAGAGCCGTGGGTCAGGTAAGGATATGGAGCTTCCTTAAGCCCACCCCTGTGGTTGGGCCAGGCCAGTACCTCATTGAAGGAGGCGAGCAGCCCAGAGGTCTGACTGGAGAGGCCAAAACGCTTCTCCACCGTGGAGATGGAGCTCTTGAGGTAGCCGGAGATCATGAGCTGGGCCAGCTGCAGCAGGCTGTGGCACAGGACGAAGAACTGGCCCCAGAACCCCAGGGATGGCAGCCGGCAGAGAACAGGGAGACAGGTGGGGAGATGAGGAGAGACAGTTGGGAAAGAGAGAGAGAAGCCACGAGTGAGGCAACAAGTAAAGATGGGGAGACAGTCAGAGGAGAGAGTCATGAGCAAGAAGAGAGACAGAGAGAGGGTGGAGGAAAGGCAGGGGGGTGGATGGGGGAGATGGGGGGAGGAGAAAGAGAATTATTGCACAGCTTCTTACACAGCTCTACATCTAGAAAAGCTCCTGGATACACTCATGACCCACATGACTGAGGGTAGGTCTTCATGGGGCCAAGGATGGTGGGAGCCTACTCCGATGCTCAGGGATAGTACCCGAAGATATATAGAACCTTCCTCCCTCTTCCCCCACCCTGGCCCTGATTCAGGAACTGATCTCATATCCTTCCCCACCCCACCTGGCCTACCCTACTAAGCCCCACCCCAAACATCTCAGCCTGCCTCCTGAAAAACTGGCAGAATTCCTAAGAGAAGAAAAACTAGTTTCACAAAATTAAAAAATAGGGTGTTAATGCCAGAGCTTGGTAAACTTTACTCCGTTCTTCTGAGTTGCATTTCCCTCATCTCTGCCAGGGAAGCTGATGTCCCTACCTCCCAGGGTAACTGAGAACGCCGTGAGCCTGTGTGGAGGCAGCACCTGGCACAGAGCCCAGCACCCTGTAGGGCCAGTGGATGCTCCAGTGGTTAGGGCTGCCCTTAGTGGAGCCAGAACTCCCCTGTACTCATACTAGTCAGGTCCCATGGGGTCCTTCTCTTTCCTTTTATGGAAACAAGGCCTCCATTCCCCACGGAGGTCCCCCCTTCCTCTCTGGAAGGAGAGAGCATGTACTGGCCACCTTCCATGTACCCAAAACCAAACTAAGTGTAAAATTTGTCCCTTCAATCCTCACAGCACCCCATTCTCCAGACGAGAGGATAGACTCAGAGAAAGGGAGCAACCCACTTGGCGTTACAGCCAAGAAGTGGCTGCACCAATGCTGTCCATTTCAGATGGTCCTGCTCCTGCCAGGCCCCCCCGAGATACCTTAATGCTGTGAAACATGCGTGGCCGCGAGTCCTGAGGGCCCAGGCTGGCTTTGCCTCCAGGGATGTCTTCTGTGCCCATCATGGCCTTCGCGTCCTGCTCTGGTATCTGGGGCTCTTCGCCCACCGGCCCTGTGGGACAGCCAGTCAGGAAGTGAGAGTGGAGATGGAATCCTAGAGAATGACCCTGACACAATACTTCACAGGGAAGAAATCTTAGTGGTTGGTGAGAATCTGAGAGTCAAAGCACCTTTGCCTTCCTGAGTCCCAGGTGCTGGAGGGTCCCAACCTAATTGGGACTGTGCCCTCCGTGTGCCATAGATCCTGACAGGACCACCTATTTCAGGCCTCCATTCTGTTCCCAGCACACACCTGGCTTCAGGGAGAAGCTGCTGGCCTTTGAGAGTGGCCCTGGTGGTGGGGATGCCCAGTCTTATTGCCTCCTTGGGTTTACAACTTTGTCATGTCCACTGCTCCTGGAGGCTGCGTCTGGGTCTGGGTCAGTCTAGCGCAGCCTAGGACCAGAGGTCTGGGCCAGGTGCAGGGTCAAACTTGGTCCATAGTCAGGGAATAAAGGCTTTCCCAGGGGGGAGTTTGGAACAGATCCTGAGACCCCACAGGACATCACCCTGCATGTGATCACAGAGCTAACCAGCCCAGTCCCCAAATCAGACCATCAAACCATGTTGTTGCTTGGGACAGAAATTGCCCTCAAAGTTCATCAAACCTGAAAGCCCTTCCCAACAAGCTGAGACCCCGGAGTGGGAGAGATGACTTGAGACAAAGCTGTGTAAAACCTGGACCCTGCCCGTTAGACAGATGGGTTTCCTCCACGGTAACGTGTCAGTACCCCACTCACTGCAGTGAGAGGAAAGCTGATCCCTCAGAAGCATCTCCCAGGGTCTCCTTAACTCAGCAAGGAGCCCAGAAGTCTGGCCTTGGGACACTCCACCCTCCACTTCAAATGAAAATCACCTGCTGCCTCCTGGCAACCTAAGCCTCCTTGGCCTTCCTGCCCTCCTAGTACCCCACTTCCTGCGGAAGTCTCTTCCATTGTCTGATATGCCTCTCAACTCTGTCAGGAGTTTCCCCTCATTCAACAAGCTCCTTCTGGAACCTGGCAACTAACTTAAGGATGCTAAAGACCCTGAGGGACTCTCATTCCATCTCCAGACCTGGAAAACAAACTCAGGGAGGGGGCTAAAGAGGCCTGGAACTGCTGCAAGCCAAGGTTTTGTGCTCCACACACAAGAGACCTCAGAGTCAGGAATTTTCAAATAATGGTGATATAATTCCCATGCCATAAAATCTACTCATTTAAAAATATACAGCTCAATGGTGTTTAGTATATTAAAAAAGTTATATGCCATCACCATTATCTAACACCAGAACATTTCATCACCCCAATGAGAAATCCCAGATCCATTAGCAGTCACTCTCCATTCCTACCTCTCCTAGCTCCTGGCAACCATGAGTCAACTTTCTGGCTCTCTGGAGCTGTTTATTCTGAATATCTTGTATTCATTTAGAGAAATGAAATCATACAACATGTGGTCCTTGGCGACTGGCTTCGCACATAATGTTTTCAAGGTTTATCCATGCGGTAGCATGCATCAGTATTTCATTATTTTTCCTGGCTGACTAATATTCCATGGTATGTGTATGTATTCCATTTTGTTTATCCTTTCATCCGTTGATGGACACTTGGGTTGCTTCAAGTATTATGTATATTCATGCACAAATTTTTCGGTAAACGTATTTTCTGAATTCTTTTGAGTCTGTAGACAGGAATGGAATTCCTGGGTCATATGATAACTCTATGTTTAACTTTTTGAGGAGCTGTCAATTTTTTCCAAGGCAGCTATACCATCATACCCCCCACAGCAGTGTAAGATGGCTCCATTTCTCTACATTCTTGCTAATACTCATTATTGCCTGTCATTTTGATTATAGCTCTCCTACAGGGCGTGAAGTGATGTCTCATGTGGTTTTGATCTGCATTTCTCTAATGACTATTGATGTTGAGCATCTTTTCATGTGCTTATTTGCTATTTGTTTATCTTCTTTGGATAAATGTCGATGCAAAAAGCTTGAGGAGTTTGGTTGAAGAAATAAAAGTGTGTCTGGCTGAAGAGGAGCCCTTTTGAGGCCACAAGCACACAGAGGAAATAAGGAGATAGTGAAACAAAAGTGACACCTAACATGGGGAGATACGGGTTTGGCCAAGTGAAGCAGAGTTAGGGGACTCTGTGGAGTTCACTTTGAAGATGAGGGGGCTTCAAGCAAACTCACGCGGAGGAGACTGATGGGACCA